GAAGATAAAGAAGTGCTAAGCAATGCAACAAATACTAGTTACAAACTTTATAGGAATTGTATAAATAAAGAACAGTGCACAATTGTTTCCACTCTAAAACACTGCCCTATCTCCTTACAACAAACAACCAACCCTGTGTTTCTTCTGGGTGTTAGACAAAGAGAAGGAAAACAAAGGACTATTTATAACCTAAGAATGCTTATATAATTTCTGTTGAAAGGTCAAAAAATACCTCCTGCATTTAATTTTAGATCCATCTTAGTCTCATCTGGTTTTACACTGGAACATTTCTATTTCACTGCATAAAATATGGACCTATTGTAAATATCCTCCTTGGCTAGCAGAGGCATGGACTTCCATAACATTTTCCATCTGACTTTTTCAGAGTACTCTTCAAGCATTCACTCAGAGTTGTCAAATTACTGGGTGGCAAGTTAATATTAGCTTCTTTTACAAAGCAAGAAAATTGCCAGCAGAAATTTAGTGACTTGTCCAAAGTTAAACAGAAGAGTTGGTAGCAAATCTGAGGCTAGAATATCTGCTCATCCTGTGCTACAAAGAGGATATTGCATTTCCTCTCCAGAAATCTTGGAAAATTCCACAGAGGGTTCATTATGTTTTTCTTGTAATAAACTTGGGTTCAGAAGTGGGTAATCATCAGTCAGTTTTGCTGAACAAATGTTTGAAACAGGTCAAATTTAGGATATATTTCCAACTAATTAAAAGGTCATTTTAATGGAAAAGGGAGTTAATACAATACTAAGGTTTTCTGGAAGCATGGAAAAGATATAAGAATTATAAGAGAATTCAGATACCTGAAATACCTGCAGTGCTGACAATGTATGTTACAATTTTTTTAAAATATGTTTTGTATCTAATATTAAATTTTGTTCTACCAAAAAATAGCAAAACATCTTTAAGAAAATGGCAAATGTGTAGACACAGGAATGAGTAATCAGGATTTTCCATGAAACTTGGCCTTATTTCAGAACAGACTGGTGGCTTTAGTACAATGCCAAATGGCAGCTTGCAGCCTATGTATGGATTGAATCGGTGGCACATGGCTCATAGCAGGTCCATGGAAACCACTCCATCTGCACCTGAAATTTTAATGGTAAGAGTGAGTTGTAGTCCATAAAAAAATCATTAAAATCCATAGAAAATGTGGAGAGTCTAAAACCAAAAAAATCAACCGAACTTTGGAATTACTATTCTTCTTTAAGACTATAATTTTTAAAGCAACTTCTACCCAACATTTTCAAATTATCTGAGAAATTATTTCTCTTGATTCAAAATACAGTAAAACTTAATGTTTTGGTGGCGGTATGACTTGTCAGGATTCCAAAGATAAAGCATGGAAAATAATGCTGCATTAAATCGATCCCCAAATCTTGCCTACCTTTTGCTAGTTTAAACATCTTATAGTTGGCAAGTAGAGAACAGCATCTCTTCATTTTTTTCAGAAATTGCTACTTTACAGAATAAAACAAAACACATTTACAACATCTGACATCATCTCTTTTTTTGGCCAGACAACAGATCTGAAAGCCCAAAGACAGCAGAATAATACAGATGCAAATATATTGATGTTGATGTACCAAAAGCTGAGTAGATACAAGGGGTCTTGTAGTTCTCTAGTGAAAGCCACTAAATTCTATTCTATGAGGAGGCTGTTAAAACCTCTGCAGTCAGTCCAATGCTGAGGATGGCCTAGAGCTGTGATTATCTCATAGTATCTTACTTCTGCCCTTTTCCTTCTGCTTGAGTTTCAAATACACTGTGTTAAGAGCTTGGAACAGTGACAATAACAGAACTTCAGTGAATTGCTTCACCAGTTTAAATAATACTAACCTTCCCCACACTCACTACTCAAGTAAAAATATTCCCACCTTACCAGAAGTAAGAATCTTGAAGAATGGCCTCTTCATCAGGTATATTATTCAGCCAGGGAGCTCACTAGCAAACTTTACTGGCATTTTTCTTACCGATAAAAGATGTGCTTTCAGGTAGAAAAATACTATTTAAATTTTAATCATACATATTGGCTGGAAAGAGATAACCAAAAATTAAAAACCATGGAAGTAATTTATCAAACAAAAAGAGACTCAATAAGGAAAAATAACAGAAAACTGAAGTTTTTTACAGAAATATACCACTATTTCTGCCTCTGAAAAGGAAATAATGATTCTGGCTTGCCTTCCTCTTCTCCAAAGATCTAACTGGTTATATTTATTGTACTTTACAGGCTCCAATTTTAACTCACAAATATTCTGAGGACAAAAAAAACCTCAAAGGACAGATAAGCTCTAAGTGGAATTTAGTCTGTTTTCAGCATTAATTTAAAATAGCCTTTACATTTTATTAAATTGTGCATAAATTAATTAAATTACACTTTTATTATATTATCCTCTCAAAGTTTTAACCAAATTATACAAATTATACATACACACCCACACACAGATATATATATATATATATAAACCAAATATGTTACATTCTAAGATTCCAAACCTGACAATTATTTAATGCTACTCAGTACTACTGAGTACTCAGTGTAATCCACCTGCAAAGACTGATGGTCACAATGAGGTTTTACTTGATTGATTTTCCTTCAGTGTGGAGAAAGATGGTAAAATTGAAATGAAACATTTATGACAATTGCACATTGTGGTAAACTCATGATGTTGTTAAACAAGTTGTTTTCAAGAGTCTTCTGTGAGAAGAATCAAAGCAGTGACTTTGAGACTTAATTCTTGCATCCGACAAGGAGAGACTTGGCTAGTTAGAGCACCACTCTTCAAGATTTGAGCAAGTTAGTTCATCTCATCCAACTCTTTGAAAAGCTGAACACTAATCTACAAAATAACCAAGACACCCTGCTGCCACTTAATAAATTTCAAAATGCCCCCACGATAACTGGATTTCCTACAAATTCTGCTCATGACAAGGGCTGTATTTCTCCCAGTTAGTGATCCAGGGCAATTGCAAAATTAACCAGATCCACTGATATTTCCCTCAAGTCCACAGAGTACCCAGGTGGTAGGCAGACTCAGTGTCCAGCTGACAAGTTCATTCAGATAAAAGTTACACCCACACGCATGGAAATAGCAGATCTGCCTGCAGCCTCATAGGTAGCAACTTAATGGTTACAGCATTTTCCCAGGAAATGGGAGAACTAGCATGCAAATAAAGAGGCTCAAATCCACATCTGACCCTTGCAGTAATTCATTAAAGGACAGTTATTTTATTCCATAGGGAGGGTTTGGTAAAGGACGGTCAAGTCAGGTAGACTCTGCATTCCTTCTCTTGAAGTTGTGCCACTGTCAGACACAAAAGGTAGTTTCATGGAGACAGAAAGAAGACAAACAATGCAAACTTGTATGAGGAAAACAGAAGAACGCTTGTGAGGGGCAAGAAAAAGGTGTCGGATTATGCAAATGATTAAAATGCTCATCTGGGATGGATACTGATCACTGGTTTGCAGTGGTTTGCTGTTTTTCTGTGTAACAGAAATCCCAGTTTACATTCTGTACTGGAAAAGAAGAAACCAAACTTGATGTAAATCCCACTGGCACAAGTGCTAGAAATTTAAAGGTTGGGTGCCACTTCATCTTTTTGACTACATTACAGAAAAGGACTGATCTTACTTAGGTGTCTGACTGCAGAAAACAGTCATTGCAAAGGAGCCCACTTGAAATAACTTCAAACTACATGTCTCACAAATCTATCTCCAGAGACTGATTTACCCAGAGTCCTGAAACAGATTTTGAATCTTGTTGCACAGACAATTAACTGGTACAGGGTTAATCTGCAACAATGTTTTAACTGTCAAGAAGTAGACAGAAGAGGTAGCTAGAAGTGGTAGGAAACAATTTCTAGAGTCATCCCTTGATTGCAACTATGTGACTATGTTTCAGGCTGCAGCAGCTTGTTTCGACGCTATTGAAAGTAATTTAAATGCAGGGTTCAGATTAGGTGTAGCAGGCCAACTCGTTATTTTCCTTTCACCCAGTTTACAGGCGCTGTGCTGGTAGTAACTCGGCATGAGCCAAGACATATTGTTTCTTACTGGGACAAGAAGGTACGAATTTTCAGCAATATACACGCCTATTCGAGAAGCAGGGGCTTCAGTTTGGATAATGCTCTCAGGCACAGGGTTTGATTCTTGGGGTGTCCTCTGCAGGGCCAAGGGTTGGACTCAAAGATCCTGATGGGTCCCTTCCAATTTGGTATATTCTATGATATGTTGTGATTTGTACCTACCAGCTTTGCTGGACAACAACAAGTGTCTGTGTTTCAAACTACTAATTCCCTGTTTATACTAATCTGCTCGTACTCGCTCCAAAACCTCTTAGTAGCATCCCCAGACAGGCAGTCCATTTTATCTGGGGCAGTGCTGTGCCCGTGCTGAGGGCTGGCTCGCAGGACAGGCCTGCTGCGTCCGTGTCAGCCCTGGCGCGCAGCCCAGCAGAGCTGTCCGTCAGGGCATTAGCGAGGCTCGGGGCTTTACCTCGCCATCCTCACAGACAGCTCCTAAGCCTCCTAAGCAGGGCTTAGACAGGAGTTTAGACAGAGATCAGCGGTATTTAGCGCCTCAAAACCGCTACACAGCTGCTACTTTGCACTTTTGTTTCCCTGTGGTAAACATCTCCGAGCACCCAGAACTCGGCCTGGGCGGGAATGGACGAGCACATCCCCAAGAAAAGCTTTGATGTGACCCGTGGGGGGAGCGGCAGGAAGCACAGCTGAGCAACTGAGCCGAGCCCTCAGTCCCGGCCGTAGCCCGCCTCTAGAGCAGCTCCAGCGCCCTCTGCCCCACGAGCCCCGCCCCGCGCGGGGTCACGCGCGCTGGCCTCGCCAATAGGCAGCGGTGGATGGAGCGCGTGGGGTCTCGCGGGAGCGCAGGGGTGTATTTAAGGCGCGGAGAGGCCCGGCTCGTCCTCTCTGTCCGCCGGCTGCGGGCGCGGTAAGCGGGCTGCGGCTGCTCTCAGGGGGAGTTCTGGGCCTGGGCCTTGGGGGTGGAACCTACGTCGCTTTCCCTTCACATATTGCCCTCTCGGAGCTTGGCGTGCTCCGTGGAGTCAACACGGGGGGATAGAACAGCTCGTTCTCACTAAAACCCAGTGCGGAGCCCTCCTCTCTGCCCTGTATCCTGTCGTGAGACACAAATGGCCCGTCCCTCTTTTCCCCCCAGCTCGGTCCCCTCCCTGCCCGGCTGATACCTCTCTCCTTCCGCAGTGTGTCCCGAGGCACCGGCGAGCTCTTCAGATGCTCCCGATGGGCAGGGGGAAGCGCTGGCGGTCTGCACTCCCGCCTTTGGACGCCTATGGGTGAGGGGCACAGCCAGCTCATCGCTCCTCTTACAGCCTGGGGCCGGTAAGAAAAGGCTTCGGGCTTCAGAAGTGGAGGGCTTTGAATCCCGAGACTTTTTAAAGGCAAACATAAATGGGAGTGCTGCCCTGTTTCTCTGAGCCAAAATGACTGTCTACATTTGTGCGCTACTGTTCTTTAAATTGCAGCTATTGAGCAGCACAGACCTTAAATCTGAATCACTGCATAAATTTATTTTTTATAGGCCACATCAAGAAAATTGCAGTTATGACCTGCGATATTTTGGCTCTGGGCACTAGGGATTTGGGTTTAAGTGGGCTTTTTCTAACTGTTCAAACAACATAAAGACCCTCATGGCTTGGTCATTCCGTGCAATCTTCTAGTCCAACTTGTAAACAGTGTCTTTTGACGGCTCTCGGTTGAATGCTGTATAATTTGTAACGAGGTGTAATATCTATCTAGAAATAGACACAAGGTAGCAATGAATTGTCCGGCAATGTTTCAGTCAAATCTACATGTTTATAGCTTCTCTCGGTAGTGTCAGCGCTAAAAGGAATTCATGTGTAGAAATAAACTTCATGTATTAAATGAACTTTATGTATAAAAGTATATTTTAAAATTGTTAAAAATGTTATATGTAGTTTATCTGGGCTAATGAACATGCCTCTTCAATAGATTGAACCACCTTTTGCTCTAGGTTTTGATTTGATAATGAACTTGTAAATTATTTCTGCAACTCTATGGAAAATTACTTTCAAAATGTTTAACAACATAGTAGCAACTCTGTAGACTATGGCTTTGAGAAGGTCTGTAGTTAAACATTATTAATTATAATTTTACGATTTTTTGTGTGTTATTTAGAGGCCTCACATAGCAACCTCATGCCTGAAATGTTTTAGACATGGGTGATCGCACCTAAATGTGAAGCAATGCTCAGGATTTCTTAGGAATAAATAATGCCTTCTACTGGAAGGTAAGTGCTCTCGTTTAATGACAATTACTGATGGCTTTTAATATTTCTGTTTAATAATTTACAAATTTCAAGCAGATTGTGGTATCTCTTGAGCAAATAGTAAGTTCAAATAATTTTAGTTGATAAGAAAACAATATATTAAATATACTACTCCCCTTTTATGCTTTGCCCTCTTAAGTCTGGCAGTGTCTTAAGTGGCCAACACAGAGGGGTATAGAAGTTCTCTTGCAAACCCAGAGGTGAGGTTGAAACTCTTCTTTGGATCATGCTTAGGAGGAACACATTAATGTAACTGCTGGACTTCAGGCTGCTGAATCAACTTTATTAGTAGCTTGTAGGAAGATTTTGAACTGTCATCTTGTTATGATATCTGAATCTTAGTATCACAGGTTTCCCAAATCTGTCCTTTTGTGAACCTACGTGATTAATGTCTTGCGTGAACCATTTCTTGTAAATTGTTTGATCTCCAGGTATAGAAATGTGAAAAGGATTATCAGATAATAGTTGGATGCATTGTTTCCTGTTCCTGAAGGAGTTTAATTTACTCCTTGCTGGAAAATGAAGAAAAGTAGCTTTGACTGGTAGAAACTTATATGGTAACTGTTAGAACTTTATATAGATTTAGCCAAAAATTAATAGCAAAAAAATCAGAGAAAAGCCCATGATAGTTACTGGGTAAGTAATTTCTTTTGAGAAAAGACTTTGGCCTAAGGGTTAGTGTCATATAGAATATTCATGTAGCTCAGCCTAAGAGCAGTTACCTGTTTTATGTGTGCATGATGCTGACTGCAAGTTAAATAAAATTTCTTTTACAGGGATGAAAACAACATGTGCCAGGAGCTGATGTTAAACAGCAGTTTATGATTTCCTGAGTGGGTGATTTCTGACTTGGTATGGGATGACTCCAATTGTCACCACTAAGTCTAAATATTGTCTTGGAAGTAGAATTGGGACAAGTGATGGCTAAAATTATGTCTTCGATGATCATGTTGAAACAGGCATCTCACTGTTTGTTGAAAAAGGTTTCCTAACAAAAACTGCTGTAATTTGATTGTGTTTGTGGATTGATTGAAATAAACTGAGTATTAATTGAAATAAAATATGAGTATGCTACCAAAAGTTTGTGTTCTGTATGTTTCTTGTTAAGGTACTTTCTGACTGACACCTTTGTGCTGTCACACAAACATTCTCTTGCCATGTCCAGACTTGATAAGTTTAGGTTTACAGATCCATCAAAAAGGCCCTCGTAGTCTTTTATTATTGGTATCTGAGTATTCTGAAGTATTTCACAATACAAAAGCACTGAGATCAACCAGCTAACTCCAAATTTATTTCATTATGTATTTGCATATTCTCTAGAAAAGGATTGTCTCAAACTGTAGAGAGCTAGTTAACAAGAAGTCCATTCCATACCTATTTTAAATTAACAAGGTAAGTACTGGAATATTCCATATAAAGCACTACCAGTAGGAAGGTCCTGGAAGAGCAAGATCGTTGTTGAACAGTTGAAAGCTTGTGTGTATTTTTCAATAGCTTATGTCTTAAAACATTTTTTTAATGATAGGTCTTAAAGTGGAGTAATTGTGCATTGTATTACTGCCAATGCTTCCCTGGAATGAAAGGATATAAAATAGGATGTATAGAAGTGGTGCTCACCACTGCCTAGACAGAGTGAATTGGTGTGGATTTAGGAACAAACATATTTACACATACATGGTCCTATTTAACCCCCATCTAACCAGGAAGTGCTTTTTTCCTTTTGCTTAAGCATACACTAAAAGGGATGAGTAGTGATTTACTTGTGGCCTAGGCTCACCTAAGTCTGCTTGTTTTAATAAGACAAAACTAAATTTGAAGAGTATATAGAAGTACTTTCTCTTAAACTTGACAAGTGTCCATTTCCTCTTGTGACTTACAAGAAATTGTTTGTCTTGTCAGTTCTATAGATCTTTGTCTTCTGTACCCATGCTTAAGGAAAAGTTTTAGTCTATTCAGTCTTACATTATGGGGTTGAGGTTCTATGCCCTGTGCAAGATTTCTAATTTACCTCTCTCAGATTCAATGTTAATTGATGATTTTCAAGACTTATTTCTGAATGTTTATTTCAGTTTTCTTTAACCAGTAAACTTGTTTACACTTGATAGTGTGGCATGATGTTCTCAGTGAGCTGTCTACACTTCCAGAATTTCACACAGAATCAAGGTATCTTAGAATTAGGGTTGGAGTTTTCCTTTCCAGATTCATTCATCATGCAATAAAAGGCATAAAATTCCACCCACTGCTCTGTGTAAAAGGATCTTGTCAGAATCAAGATCTTTGGGAGTCTAAAGCCAGTTAGTTCTGAGTATTCTGCCCTTTTATTTTTTTGTGGTTTTATTGCTGTCTACTTTCCACTTTTTTTTTTCCTTAAAGACACATGTCTTAAGTTTCAAGAAGTTTAATATACAAATGTTCTAGGATCTACCTCTTTCTATTACTGACAACTGAAGTATTGTTTTGTGTCAGTATAATGCAGAAGATATATTTTTCACATTAGTGGCTTACACAGTGTATTGGCACTGTTGGTGTAAAACTTCCCAATAGAAACACTCTGTTAGTGAAGTCATAATTTGCTGCTGCTTTTGATGAAATACTCACATGCCACTAAGTGACAATGCTGCATGTTAGGTCCAGCCTTTGCTCTTCTCTTTTTATGAGACATCTGGTTAGAAAGGCTAATGAAAAGAGAGCCCATTCTAGACATGATCTACTACTCTGATTTCACATAGTATTAATAGAATAAGTTTAGTGGGTTTAGAACATCTGGAGAGAGATCAAGAATGAAATAAAGTCTACCTGAGACTACATGGTGAACACTTAAAGTTTTACCCATCTTGTTCTTTGAATAACTAGGCAAGCTTAAGGCATTATTCTTTAAAAACTGATCTAGTTTAATGCAAAATCAAAGGAGAGATTGTATTTAAAACTAAAGAAGTATCAAATTATTTCACGTATTTATAAGCCTTACAACTTTTTACATTTAGTAATTTGTTTTCATTAAGTTGGGGCCATTGTTCTATGCTGAAAGCTCATTTTGAAGAAACACTGGTTGGAATGATAAGTCACTTGAGACTACTTTGTTCTGTGATTTCTTATGAATATTTATAAGAAATCTCTCCTCAATTAACTTTGGCTTGTTCCTAGTCCACCTACAGGCTTTTTGGAATATAAATATGTCAGTTCAGGCATCACTCATCTAACTACATTTATGATATATCACATTAAAGAAGTAGAAGCAAAACAAAGGGATTAGTAGTAGTCTAGGTATAGGGAGTGCGTCTAAATCCAGTAACTTCATGGGTGTAAATGAGCTCATTCACCCCGACCACCACCCTGAGGGACTGTGTGCTTGGGGCTGTGCAGTTCCCCAAGAAACTTGCTTTGTTTGATGACTGCTATGCTCTAAAAGGAGAGATTGCATCACAATTCTCCCTTTTGTTACTCATTGGAAAAATGAAGACTAATAGCCAGGTTTGCCTGAGAATAGTCAAGGGCTACTGGGTTGGGTTGCAGCCTTGTTATAGGCTAAATGATGTGAAACCATACTCTGTTGTTTTATAAATTTTTATATATATGCTTTGTACAGCAGGGATTATATGAGAAATTTGGGGAAAATGAAGAAGAGAGAAAGATTTTAGTTTTTAATCTGTGCACTTCTCCTTATTCTGGCTAGTGATAGCAAATGTAGGAATACTGCTTTGGTTTTTCTTTAACTAAATCTGCAAGAAGGTTCTGTTCATCAAGATTGAAAACTATCAAATAGAAGGGGGAATATTTACATATCTGTGTCTTTATTCCTGTTCTCACAGACAATTGAAAAGCATGATATTCCAATTCCTTTTGGTAAGTAGTTACAATTGATGAGACACAATGATCAAAGGAATGGAAAAAAAACCCCAAACTGAAGAATATACTTATGGAATAGTATGCTTAGCCCTGGACAGTTTTCTATACATGGGGCTACACAAAGCAACATTTTGTTATGTTCTGTGCAAGAGTCTAGCAAAGCATAATTTTTTTCTTATATATATATATATTTTTTTTTTTAATTGGCAAGAATTGGGAGGCTACCTTGAAACTCTGGTACTCTGCAAGAATTTTAGTTCTGAGGAGCTTGTCAATATCAGAGCTTGTATGACTTCTGGTTTGTAAGAGAGATTTGTGATCTCAGGGGTTTGTAGTGCATTGTGTTTAATAACCTGAAGTTTGGATGCAGGTATTAATTCATGGTAACATAAGCTTTATGAATCTTTGTGGCCTTACATTAACAAATCAGCCTGATATTCAGCGGGAAGCTTGGAGGTAATACTCAAGTAATAATGGCTACTTGTTGTCCTAGCTATTCTTCTGAGTTGATGGTTAGTTGACTGTATCTTCCTTACTTTTCTTCATGCTTTCTCATAGAGTTGCAGCTGTATCCAAGATCCTTCAGCTCATGCAAAGAGGATGAGAATGTCAGCTGAATGCACTTGAATCAAAGAAACAAAGTGCATGCATCCTGTGCATTCCGGTTTGGATCAATA